GATTTGGCCCAAATCACTGAGAAATCAAATGAATCTGGAGCGATTGTGAGAATCATCGGTAATGGTTAGGGAGTGCAGGTTTCAATGTGATGCAAAGTTTTTCATTCCGGTTCTACTAAGATCTATTGAAAGTAGGTCAAACAATTAGAAATCATTTGAGAGAAGTTGCTTTTCAACCCATTTTGCTTTTAGTTGTCTAAACTGTCTCGCTACTTTGAACTTGTATTGTTGATACTAGAAGTCTAGAAAGTGGCATGAAAATGTCTATTTTCAGATAGCGTACAGCTCGATATTCGGAGTCATCTTGCTGCATTTTTTATTAGCACTAACATTCAAAGTGAGTTTTTTAGGAGACGAGTTAACTGGCCGTTCTCCTACACCTTTTTTGTGATAATTGCTCAGCCGGTAAAGTAAGCTGCTTTGATTAGATCTTTTGAACCGATAACGAGTTTAGTAAAAAATTTATAATTGAAGCAGCAAATTGTGAAGCGGTAGCCTTCTCATCTATCATGCGGTACATATTAGTGGTCATGATTTTGTACAGTTTTCATCTTAGAGGTTCGAGAAAGGTTACAGTTGTAAATGTTTGCTTTTCTAGAAACCCTTATATGGGGCTCAGCACCCCTTTAATGGTAATCCTTTATTATTTGTCTCCGCTTATTTATATCAATCTAAGGTCTACTTCTTCGACGCTGCTCATCCCTCGATGAAGCCAGCTCACGTTGCGAAAACAGGTGATGTCGGAAGTAACAATAATGGTAACAGTCAGGTTGGCAGTCATTAAGTGTCTATCACTATCTTCCTGCAGCCGTGCTAGCCTTTTAGGTATTGATCACTGACAAGGTGGAGGCTCTGATTTCTACTACTGTTAAAGCACCAGTTGAAGTGAAGTTGACATCTGCTGCTGTAAAAATGACAACGAAAATTTTCGAGGACGGTGGCAACAAAACAGTTTTGGATTCGTCTGCTAATGGGACAGATAGTAAGGAAACCAAAGGAGAAGTCATCAAGAACGTCACGCAGTTGGACAGCAGTGCTGAATCTAAATCGAATGCTATGCTGTCAAAAACATAAATCCTGGCTTTCCATTTTTTACTAACAAGTCCTTTGTTTGGGATCTTAAGGGTTTTTGCTTTACTGCCTCGAAGGCACGTTGTTAACAATAATGCAGAATTGGGCACTGATGTGATATTTCGAAGCGTCATTAGATGCCGCTTGATTTAGAGCATGTATTTATTTATTACTCATTTCATGTCGTGTTCATGAAAATGCTAAATGTAAATAAACTAATAAAAAAGTTTCATCACTCCTGGCATAGAGTATATCATTTAAAGGGTGTTGGGAAAAAATGAGTTACCAAATTAAGAATCGTTTGGTACAATGCTGCGCGATTATGATATCAAGAAAATGGGGAAGAAATTTATTATGCATCTTCGCAGAACTTTTTTTATTTGAAGATATAGCGAACATCTGGTTAAGATGTTCATCATGTACCTTTCGGTCTGCTTAATCCTAGCTAGCATTAATAACTCAAGTGGAACCTAATGAACAGCTCCAAATGAGCATTTTTACTATTATTTGAAATAATTGTCCTTGTTAACTTTAGGAGATACTCTTACAAATGAGACTGCTGCAAAATTATTGGTGTTGTTTGAAAGGAAGTAAGCTGTGGCAAAAGATTGTAATACTGACATAGTCTTCTCGTGGAAATAAATGACATCGATATACATTCCATGCCAAGCTTGGGCGTATTGTAAAGAAATTACTTGGTTGCAAGAGCGAGGAAAGTGAATTAGACAATTCTTCGGTAATGTATATGTTTCCAATTTGATCTGTCATAAAATAACAGGATTTGAAGGCAACGCATTTTCATGACAGTCACTGCTGGTCTGATCCCTTTTCAAAGTTTAACA